CATGCATGCATGCATATACACATATATATATAGAGATATAGATATGGATATAGATATAGATATAACTTCTTAACATGGATATATGTGAGTGTACGTACGTCGTCGGTTGGTCGTGCGGTGGGTGTATATACATTTACGTGCAGCCATGCAGACCTAGATTCGTCTCTGCTGCTTTTTGTCTCTCTTCCGCTCTGTCTCTTTTTGTGGCTCTCTGCTGTGTTTCTGCTGAGGCCAGTGCCACAGAGACGCAAAGTACCTCGGCAATTAGTTTTCGCTTCCATGCAGTTGCACGAAACCAACCTGGGAGGGTCTCGACATTGAATGGAACATGTTGTTCTTGCCTTGTTTGCTGGGGATCTTGTCTTTAAGAAAGCAGAGCAGCGCACGTTGGCCAAGTTGGCAACCGCGTAAGGACAGTGGTCAAGCAGAAAAGCCCAAGGACGACGAGCTTGAAGCATCTTGGTAGAGAAGCTTTGGCCAAGCTGGCACGCTGTTAAGTTGCGGTCATGGCGGTTCGTTTCTTGCCTGGGTGAAGTTGACATGACAGCTGATAGGAGTTTCAAACGTTGTCCACGCTGTCGTTCTCCGCCCGACGACCCCCACGACTTTACTTGCCCGAGGTTTTATGCACCGGGGAGTGGTGCACCTGAGACCACTCATGGTGCGCTGCGAGAAGCTTTGTACAGCAACCCCAATGGGCTGGTCCCTTTGTGTCCGTGTCCAGATGATATGTCAAGGCAACGTCAGGTGCCGTAAACAGTGCGGCACTCAACAAAGTGGCCGGTGCGGAATTTGTGGCCGCGCGGTCCCCAAAGCATGGACCGAGCCCTCACGCCGGAGCAGTCTGGGCAAAGCCCTTGTTTGCTCCAGCATGAGCCATGAGCCACCAAAATCACCGCAGCGAGAGCCTGGTCGTTCGATTTCTGCATTCTTGCTTCCCCGTCACATCGGCCTTTCACCTGGCGCTCAGGTTACATACAGGACATGTCGACGAACGGCACCCGCCTGAATGGCAAGCGCCTGCCGAGACCACCATATAAGCATCCGATGGCGGCTTGGTACTGAATCTGGCTTTTTGACGGATGTAAGCAGAAGTTAGTGCTCGTAACATCGGGCCCATGGGCGGAGAATTCGCGAGAAGTCAGGTCGAAATGATCTGTCTGTTCAGTCTCGAGTCTCAATGATTCGATGATCTTCCTGTCCGAGGATGCCCGGGTACGAATCTTCCACGGCGACGAGCTGGTCCTGTCTCTCACACCGGAGGGTGCCCGGCCTGACCTTAACTGCCCTTAGTCGTGACGTAGATCCTCGGAGCATTGTGGCCGGGGTTTAGGGCCTTCAGGCCTCTTTCATCTTATCCATGGAAGCACCTCTCTAGACTGATTGACGGCGGATAAGGAGAGGAGCTTGGCTATGTTGGGAGCTCAGACGTGGCATTCGTGGCGGAAGTCATGCAAATCAGGCTGGCGAGGATCACTGCATGACTAGATGCCGGCACGGCTCGGATCGAATTGTGTAGTGGGCCATCCTTACAAAATGCCGCTGAACGAGGTCATAAATCTCCATGAGCACGGAGCTCAGCTTGCGCGAGTGTGGTGCAAGATGGCGGATCACCCGCAAGCACGGACTGGATGGCGAGCAATCAAAGTCACTGTGCATTTGCGGAGCCTTGCTAAGCTATGTTCGTGTTGTTCCCACCCTTTACACACTCTCACCCCATAGTCCCAGCCCTCTCGGTTCCCCTTCCGCCAAGGCTGAGTGGGTGATGCGACGGTGACGGGGAGTCCACGTTTCTGAGGAGAGCTCCTTAGGTGCCAACCGCTCCCATACCTCACACAGCGGCGTCGGGAAGTCGGCTTGCCCTGGGTGGCAGCGGCTATAGATGTGAAGCCCAGGCATCGAAATCCTGAGAAAACAAGGAGAAAAAGGCATGATGTTGCGCCTCTGCATGTGATGCTGGCCAAGGGATCGCCAAATTCTTAGGAGGAACCACTTGCAGCATCCTCTCACAATTCCAATACATGCTAGGCCTTTAAGCCTTCCTAGGTCCTAGGCTGTATGTGAGACTTGTATCCTTGCATCTCTCCACCTGTGATTATTCGCATATGACAGCTGGATAGAAGCATCTTCGGTGAAAATTCAATCCTTGAACCAGGCGCCGGACGGGGTCGATGTCCTGCTCTTCGTCATGAAGAAAGCCGTGGCTCCCAGCTACTTTGTAGCCTTTCTCTTCAGCATGTTCGGTCTTGCTCAAATTGCGAGTGCCAGCTTGGAACCAAGGAGCGAGTCTCCTCTGCCGAGCAGGTCAGGAATGCAGCCACTTTTTCATGTTCATCAAATACAACACACAAAACCTGAGGAACGGCTGAGATATGAGCCGCCCTGCAGGAGACCCTGGCATATGTGACGCAGTTGCTCTTTGGCCCAGAGTGCTTGTCCTGGCCTGAGAATTACTCAGGGCCGCCGGGCTAAGATGCACCGTGGGACCCTGATGGACCCTGCAAAGACCAGGCCAAACCTCTACATGGTCATCACGCGGGCTGGGCGTCGGCCACCAACAGCTTCCTGCCTGCGAAGAGCCAAGGCCCCGGCCTAAACCTGCCAAGGCCTCGCGCGGGACGCCGAAAGCCGCGAGCACTGGCTGCAGGAACAGGCCCTGGCCTTGGAAGTGGAATGCCACTCGGTCCTTTTTTTGTTGTTTTAACTCGAGAGCGTCTCAGGTGGCGTCTTCGCCCCAGTTTGCTGCTATGGTCGCTCCTGGGCCGCAGAGTTGCAGTCCGTTTTTCTTTAAAAATATCACGGGTAGATGGATACAAAAAAAAAGACTTCTCAGAGTTGATTTCCTGAGTTTTGGAGGCGCTGCTTGGGCCAGCTCCTCTTTCACGCTTGCTCTTCGTGGAGAATGCAGATATGGCAGAGGCGCGTGCTTTTAGGCGGTCTGGTCATGCCAAAGCGTCGTGAGACTCGTGAGATACGTGAGGCAGAGAGCCCGGAGGAGATTCATCTTGCCGAGAGCCGGCGCTCCAAAGCCCTCCAGGCCTTTGCAAAAAAAACACTGCCTTGCCACGAGAAGCTAATTTTTTCCAGAGCGCTGCGCCAAGAGGATCTGCACTCCTTGCTCCAGAGACACCATGCCACTCCGTTCAGGTCGGAGTCTCAGTTTCTCGGAACCCGCCGATCCGGCCGCCACTAAGGCTTTAGGGCTCCGAGGATTGCAGAAGACTTGCAGAAAAGTGGCATGGGTGTCTGTTTGTTCGGCTGTTGCTTGACAAGGCATGGAATCATGCATCGAGCTGGACAGCTGCAGGCTGTGACCTGAGGCTCCCCAGAGCAACCGGTGCACCACAGTCGTGCGATGGAGAAAGGCAGCCCATCTGGCCGAGCTGCGTCGCGAGCTTGAGAGCAAGCTTGAGGCCCGAGGCCTTGGCTTGGGACGAGTTCGGGCTATGCAGCGTAAAGCGTAAAGCAAAGTCCCAGGCAGAGATGCGCGCAGAGCTCACCAAGGCATCTGCCATGAAACTCTCGAAGCCAATCTTTTGCATGAGCATAGGTTGTCCCTGTTGCCCTCCCGCTGGTCATGCAAAGTTGCTATTTGCCCCCTATCTTCGGACAGGACCGGGGAGCCTTGGAAGCAGAGCGACTGCGTTTCCAGCAAGAGGTAAAGGGATTTTTGCCTTGCCGGATCCCCGCCTTGCCGTACCATGTTGGAAGGTGGAGGGGCAGCGCAGGGAGCTGCGTGAACAGGAGGAGGACATTGACTAGAGGGGTTCAGGGTTTATGTTTTCCTAGGTGCGGCTCTTCTTTGGCACGGTTTGGCTTGGCCCAGCTTGGCTTTTCTTCTTGGGTGGGGCTTGCCTTGGTTTGGCCTGGCCGCCCGGCACCATGGCAAAATGCTCAAACCAAGGCCAGCCCACCTTGACCAGAGACAGAGAGAAGTAAGAGAAGGCGTTTTCTGCGAGAGAGGAGCTTCGGCGCCGGCTGGAAGCTGAGCCGGGGCCTCAACGAAACGGCCACTCGAGCAGCTCTGCAATGCCGACTTTACCCAGGTGGTCCAGGATGCGCTGGGAGTTCGAACGACAGGCCAAAGAAAGAGCTCGTCAGGACGGCCTCGCCTCATGCAAGGCCGCCCGATTGAGCCCCAGCCATTTAATATGGGTAGATCGCAGGACTTGGAGAATGTGGCCAAAGAGATTGTCGAGCAAACTGAAACGGAGGCAAGGCAAGTGTGTAAAGCGATTGTGCCTTTTCGTGCCATGCTGTCTGCACCTTGCCGTCAGGTAGTGCAACAGACAGGAGCCAAGCGAGGAAGACGATGCAATGTCATGTGAGATGTCCACTTCGTGTGTCAGGTGGGGTGCCCAGGTCATGCGAGCAGTCGCTCTTGATACCTTCGCAGACTCGACTTGGGCCGTGCTGGCTGGCTCTGACTCCACTGGTCGATGGCTTTGCTGGCATGCATCAGCAATGCTACCTTGAACAACAGGGTGGAGGCTTGGGTGCCCGAGTAGCATGCGGACTTCGCACGACGTCCTCGCCAGTTTCCCCTTCTTGAACGATGCCGACACATTGGAGGTGAAGATGTTTGCATCGTGTGGCTGCCCACGCAAGCAGAGGACGGCAAGATATGTCGAAACACAGAAACACCGTCGGGATGTCTGCGCTTCCGCGGTGAGCTCGGGGTCGAGGCCGTCCGGCCTGCTTGACCTGCTTGAATGACCTGCTGCGACTAGCAGTTCTTCGTCTCACCCCCTGGGGCAAGGGAGATGCTGCTGACATCAGCACGACAGCACGATCTCAGCCCCAGCCAGCTCGATGCCGGAGACCTCTATGTAGGTACAAGCATGTCCGTGCACAAGTTGGTATTCTGCATCACGGGCTTCTCATGTCCACTGCATTGGAAGTAGAGGCCTTTCTTGCAGGGTACACGCGGTTGCCTCACCATGAACTACAAGCAAGTCCGATCGAGAACGAAGGTCGCGGTGCGTATGCGAAGTGTCTTTAGACGCTTCGACTTGCGTAGGTGATTCTTGCAGCTGAAGGGCTGTGACCTCGCTGACCAGCCTCAAGTCCCGAAAAGGGCTTCTTCGATGGTGGCCGGACAGACTCCAGACAGGGACAACTGACAACTGTACTCTAATAACTCTGATGACTCATCGTGGCAGAAGCAAGAGCGTGGCATTTTTCGTTTGTTCGATGTGTACACACCGGCACCTCCATGGCAGAGACGGCCGACGGCAGCTCGGCAACCGCAGCAACGGTGCTTCCCTCAGCGCTGTGCTGCGATGCAGATCAGGTGTTTTTTCCAGAAGAGAACTCAGGTGATGCAAGATGAAGTTGTCGATAACGCTGCAGTTCATGACGATCCAGCAAGGAGCTCTTCCAAAGCCGATGAGCCCGTGGCACTCGAAGAGAAGGAACGCGCGGCCGATTCTGGAGGCCTCTCATGCGCTGTCGGCAGCCGTGCACTTTGTTGTGGATTTGCGTCGTTTCAGGTGCTCTTTCCCAACGCGAGCAGGGGTAGACTTATCCTTATTGTACATTCTTAATGCTTTTGGTCTGTCCATCCCGCTTCTTGCTTTCGACTTTGGATTCGGCGGTGCCAAAGTCAAAGAGGAATCAATTCGGAGTCAAGGTTCGCGCGTCTTCTGCATGATGCTGGCCCTAGGGCGATGGAGTCCCGGCATGAGAGGTGAAGTTTGCGGTGGGCACGGTCCACATGGCCATCCGCCAGAAGTGCAGGGAGATGAAGATCAGGAGGCGGATCTGGCGGAGTTTTCAAAGCTTTGCCTCTGCCTGCCCTCGTGAAAAACATCCCGGGCCCCTCTCAGGCTCGGAAGCGAGTCCGAGAGCTCCAAGAGACCCTCGGCATTCGATTCATGCCCACCGGGGTAGTGCTTCACAGCTGGGACTTGCACGCAAGCTCTGGTGTGTGCCAGATATTTAAACGGTAGCCTTCCGACCGCGACCTTCTAGGATTGGGATTGGGAATGCAGCAGTTTATTGGCTAGTTTCCCCCTGGCTTCTTGGAGGCAGCAGGGGCTGCAGCAGAGGATGCGACAGCGAATCTGCCAGGGCCTTGCCAGCGAGGTGAGGCCTTGCAGTAAGCGTCGCGAGTCCATCCTGCAACCGGTCTTGCTGTAGTAACACGCCTTAATACGTGTCGAATTGAGATTGCGCGCGTCCGCTTCGGTTTTTTGGTACCCGTAACTCTGCTCGTGCTGTTCAGCGTGCAGCAGAAGATGTGGTGCCAGGATGTGACGGCTCCGCCATGTCCTCCGCTCCTTGCCATGCAGGCACGTACTGAGACCCGAGACCCTGGTATGCGCAGCAGCAAATGCGAGTTCGCAGAGAGCGCGAAGCGTTGCAGGCGCAAGAATATGCCGGGCATGCCGCGTTCGACGGCTTGCCTGTAGCGGTTCCAGGCAGGGCCCAGAGCAGCAAGAGCGCGTTTCTGGGGTCGCACTCTCTCAGGCCCCTTCCGAGAAACACCGCGAATGGATCCACGTGATGCGCAGGCGAGCTTAAATTTCAGATGTTTCAGACTGCAAAAGCATGATCTTCAAGTCGTAGTCCGCATCAGCTCGCCGCCGGGAGCCGTTTGATGTTGATAGTTTCAATCCGATTAATTAGGTGTGGGCCGACTTCAGATCTGCGTTCAAGAAGTGGGGCACCCAAGTCTTCCTTCAAGCAAGGTCGCATCAGAGCAGCTCCTCGGCAACTTGCTTGCCCCATACGGACAAGGTACATGCTCCAGTTGTCAGAGGAAGCGCTGCAGCAGAGCTTACCTCAGGCTGCCTGACAGCTCTTAGTCTTAGCTCTGATTGAGCGAACTTCGAGCTCAGAACCCGAAGGTGGACTTGCGCCGGATGAGGTTCTCTGCTAATGCCCTCGGAGGGCTGGTCAGCGGCCAGGTCGTGCACACCGGGTTTTTTTGGGGGACGAAGATGCGCAGTTGAGGATGAATCCTGCTCACACGGCTTGCGGGTCCCGGTTGACCGTAGAAGTCCCAGCCGGGTTAACGCCGTTACGGCTTGTGTCTGTCACTCAGTCCGGGACGCACTGAACCGCAAATCAAGTGAAGGCGACGTATCAGAAGTAAGAGCGAAACTGTGGCCGTGTGGGGCTTCAGCTGAGTGTTGCAGTGCAAGCAGAGGATTGCCACGACAGTGTGCAGGTTTGCATGAACTACTTGAACCACTCCTGCCGGCGTGGGCCGCGGCCTTGGAACTGTGGCCGACGGCTTCCTGGGATCTTGTTTGAGCATGACTTGGGTAGGCTGCGCTGCATTGATCGCCACCCTCCTCGAAGTCAGTGGGCGAGGCGAGCTGTGAAGCCTCGAGGATTCCACTGTCCAAGGATAGTGATCTGAGCTGAAGCGGAAGCAGTGCCCCATGGGCGACCAATGCCTACTGCCTTCGTGCGAGCCTGAAGCCGGCTTCGGCAAAAAACCCTGGAGCGAGCCTTGCGCTGCCTGAGGTGCCTCTACTTCATCTCAGAGAGGGACAGGACTGTGCTACCCCTCAATGTCCAGAGTCGTGTCCAGGTTCCAAGTGCAACCGACCAGTCGATACTCGAAGCAACGTTGCTCCCGTGCGAGTATTTTTCAATTTCTCGAGCCGGCATCGCCCACCAGCTATCGTCCGTCCCCCACTCCGAGCTATCTTCAATTATTTGCGTTGCTCCCGCGGCCCCCACCATCACAAGCAAATCAGACTACGCTGTCGCCCAAATGTTCTCCATGCAGGACAGTGCTGCACATCAGGCCGACATGGAGTGAACTGCTGCAGCAGACCAAACGAGCCTGTGGCGGCGCAGCGCTGCAACCGTGACAAAAGGTTGTGTCTGTTTTGACAGCTTTGTCAAGTCTTCTTCAGGGATGCGCACCCAGCCCTTCACTCTCACCTTTGTCTTAGCAGCTACAGAGTGTGAGTTCAATGTTCAAGTCAAGTGTCCACAGGGCAAGGCATTTGCAGTGGGCCTGAACCTGGCGTGCATCAGACGATTAAGAGGTCGTTTGAGTGGAAGAGGCAAGTCATCTGGCGCTTGGCGCGCCATGCCCCGTCCACCGGAGACTCTGCTAAGTGTCCATATAGGAGGCGGTGCGAATAGCGCAGCTTCTTTCCTCAAGCCCGGGTTCCGGGGCTTTCTCGGCATCGCGGTCCCTGCGGGTCGACTCCCCAGTTGAAGCAGGGCTTGACGACTCGAGCCTGGGATTGAGCGTTGCTTCTGGCATGAAGCCCGGAGGCAATGCGAGAGGTGAGCATAAATTGCCAGAAATGCCATAGTGCAAGTCTCCGTGCAGCCATTGCAGCTGCTCTAAGTCTTAAAGACGAGCTTCAATCCTTGAGTCATTCGATTCAGTCCCTGCGCAATACAGCTTGGATTCAGCATGAATAGAACAGAAACGGTGATGGAGATACATGTCGCGTAGATGCATAAGATTCGGGCTGCTCTGAGCTAGTCTAACAAGGTTTGCATGAGGATTGGAGTCCTGGTCCTGAGCTTGCCTAGAGACCTTAACTCGTTCAGTATAAGCAAAATCGAGGGCGGGCACTCGGTGACCCTTGCCATGGCCTTCGCTCGACGGGCGCAGAGCGCGCGCCCCGCAGGCAAGGCACCGGTTTGGTTCAGGATGGTTCAGTTCTTCAGGTATTGAGCCACGGGACCGAACTGGCAGCCGGCGACATCTGAAGCTTCGGAGATCTGGATCGCATGCGGAACTTTAGTGGTTGCACGGCAACCATCTGCAGTCTGCCGAGGCAGCATGCACCAATGGAGCAGCTGCAAGCAACTTTGTGTTTGTAAGAGGCCCGCAGCGGGAGCAGCGCGTGAAGTTCGAGCCTGCAGCGAGGCGTCGGAGCTTTTGGATTTGTATCGGCTTCCAGCAAGTTTGCATCTTGGCAGGTCGGGCTCCGTCAATTCAGCCAAGCGTGCTTCGGCAACGAAGTAATCGGAGGAGTATCGTAGGGCCGCAGGATAGAGAATCGAGCCTCCGTGCGCTTCAGGGGCGGAGCTGGCTGCCCCGGTGCGGAGCAGGATGGGTGTCGGTGTCACCTTGCAGTCAAGCTTCGAAAAAGCGCGGAAAGGAGTGCCAACTCCCTGCACGCGCGGGATGTGTCCTTCGGACCGATTCCATCAAGCCTGGGGCTGAAACTGCCATGCTTCGAAGAAGAGGACAGCCTGCAGCCTGCAGCGAGGCTCGCGGTCCGTCTCACGGACAGCGCAGGCCGCCGAGAAGGATCCAAAACACAGCGGCCGGCCTGCATTGCCGGATCCCGGACTCCAGTTAGTCTGCCCCCGGGCGCAGTCTGAGTTTTGGGACAGCAGACGCGGCATCGCTGAAGAGCCGAGGGTCCCGGTCAACGACACCATCCAACACCAGGCCATGCCCAGCTTTCAGTTCTAGGAATTCTTCTGACCAGAACTGAGCAGGGACAGAACACCTTCGACTGCAGCTTCCTCCGCAGCTTGGAGAAAAGTTGCCAGATGCGCCACCTTGCAGCCACCATGCCCTGCCCAGCTGCTCTAGGCAAAGACGAAGTCTCCTTCTCACGGGCGCGACGCCACCCCGCTGGCGTACAGAGAAAACAGCCTCTCAGCTTATACCCGTGGCGGGCTGTTGTGGGCAGATCAGCGCAGAAATGACAGAAGACACAGGCAACTTTCTTGTATGTCATGAGCGAAGATATTGATGCATTTCAGGGGATTTTGTCCAACCGGTCCTCGGTGCTGCTCACTGCACATGGCGCTTCCTGGATCGTGGCGACCGTGGAAGCTCGAAGCCAGCAATTCGGCATCATTCATGATGTTTCGATGTGAGAGACCCTGCCTTGTCCACTTCTCGTTCACCTGCCACCTGCACCCAACGAAGTCAAGCGGTCGGACGTGTCAGGTCGAGCCAGTTCCCGAGACCTCGAGTTTCTCTCGTGCCAAGCGCTTTGAAGACCATCATACGCAGGACTTGCGCTCTGAAGCGAGCATGAATAGACTTAGCTGTCTGGTCTGAGCTTCGCGAAGGAGCTATGGGAACGGTCCAGCAGGCACCCCGTTCACTTCAGCAAGCCGCAACTTGAAAGAGACCACAGTATTCGGTTTGGGCAGCCGCGCAGCCCTACAGAGGGTAGGTGATGTGGTGACCCAAGGACCTGGGACAGGGAAGGCTTCGCTTCTTGTCTTCCATATGAAAAGAGCCTGCCCCGATGCTTCGGTTTGGGAACACCATGGCCATAGGAGCTGAGTATGCAGGGCACTTTTGTTTAGGCCAAGTTAGGCAGTCTGCACTTACTCCGAAGGCTGCGCATGTAGAGGAGCCTGGTAAGGCTGGACGACCAGCATCTCGACGACATCAGAGAGGCGCAGTTGCGCTGCTTTGAACGTAGCACGAGGAGTGTTTAAGGCCAGAGAAGTGCAGACAGCTTGAACAGAGTTAAAGAGACACTTCCAAAACAAGGGCAGTTGTTCAACGCTTGCATCGGTGAAGAACGTTTGTTTCTCTCCTTTTCTCTGTTTGCCCTGACGACACGGCCTGATAGTGCTCGGGAACGATCGCAGTGCCGAATGCAAGAAGAGGCAAGCGATGCCTCATCGGTGCTCCCCACACCGCTTCTGGGCTGCATGATTCCCAAATGAAACGCCGCTCACGGTTTCTTCATCGATTGCAGTACTCCACATGCAAAGCTGAGGCCGACACACCAGAGACTCGCCTGCAGAAATTCGTCACTCTCCGCGCCACAGCAAAACCAGTCAGAAAAGGAGATGGCCAAGCTGGTCTGTGGAAGCCAGGAGCTTCTCAGATCCTGGGAGCTCAAGGAGCAGGTGGGCACAGCAAGCTCGACCCGGAGAGAGTTCTGGCACCCGCCGATGTTCGTCAAGCATGCCTTCGTCAGTCTCTTCTATACGGAGTCAGGAGCATCCTGGCATGGAGAAAATCTTCGACGGCTGCGCAGGCACCGATCTCGTGTGGTCTTTGGCCGTTTGAGATGGATCCCATGCATGCAAGTGGTTTTGTGACATTAAGTGGTTTCTGCTCATCGGGCCCTTTCGCCACGCAGCCGGCGATTTCTTTCGTTGCGATTCCGTGTCAGGTTTCTCCGACCAGGCCGCCGACGTAGATGGGCCAAAAGCTGCAGGAACTCGACACTTTCACGGTGCGCCACATGCTGCTTGGCTGCAAGATGGAAACCACGGCCACGAGGGCTTGGATTTTGCCTCAGGCACTTACTCCTTCTTGACTCCTGTAAGGTGCAGGACACGCCCGGCTTGGAAAAGCTCATCTGCGGCAGCAACAAGATGTCTGAGTTGAAGGAATCGGGAACCAGCTCTTTCGAGGGACTCGGATGCAGTCGTTGGCACTGAATCCAAACCCCTGCAAGATCTTGTGATTCCTTACTGAGTTAGCAAGATGCAGCTTGCACCAGTCTTGTCTTGCTCTAATGCCAAAAGTTTGCTAAAGCCTGTGCGCTGTATACTTTCGGGTGCGCGCCTGCGACGGCCCCTGTAGGATCTGCACGAACAGAGCCGCCCAGACTTGTCCAACATGTTTCAAGGCCGCCGACCAAAGATCACGTTGAATCGCAGCGCAAGTTATGTAATTTTACGGCTTTTGAGTGAGGATATCTGATTCCTTATCTTTCATCGGATGTAGGCATCTTCGGGATGCTGGGAATGGATGCATTGCACCAGCTTCTCTTGATTGCAGTTCCTGTGCCCGGACACCTGCCCAGTCGTGCCTGCAGGATTTGCTGGTCACAGCGCTCAGGACATGGCCACCAAGACAGTGCGATGTACAGCTGAGCGAAGGGTGCGAAATTGGCTCACCGTGGCTGCCTTGAGGACGAGGATGCCAAAGGGAGCGGAGCTCGCAGCAAGCGGTACTCCGGCCAGAAGGAAATGCTTCCTCCATAAGCTCATTGAGCTCTGCTGATGTCCGATTTTGACCTTGCCCAGGAATTTCTTCGGCGCGCCGCATGTTATGGACTGCGTTGGTTTTGACTTGCTTTTGCAGCTGTAGATTGCATGACAGCAGAGACAGGATTCGCAACTCTCCAACTATTTCCGTTCCACAAGTTCCTGCAGGACACGCCTTTGTCCGGCATCCTTTGCGGAAGCGAGCAGCTCTCCGACGTTCATCGGCAGTTGGCAGTAGCGTAGATGCAGCATCATAACGAATGTGATGATGCCAAGATCATTTTGGTACCGAGTCCCTAAGCGTCGACGGAGTGTATGTCAAATTACGTGAATTTCGAACATGTGGTCTCCACTTGGAAAGCAGCTTACCGGTTCCATCAGTGCAGCAATGCCGCATACTCTTATGTTTCTGTGGATGTATGTGTGTGTGTGTGTGTGTGGAACCCTGTTGCGAAGGGATACAGCCTAAACAGCAAGGGGCTGAGGGCCCGACACTGGCGCCTCAGCCAACGAAGACTACAAGTGACAGGGGGGCTGAAAACGTACCCGCGAATCAAGGGGGAGGGTGCACCTCGTCGCGACAGCTGGTGGCCCTCATGAGTCCGTGGCAGCTGGAATAGTCACCCCTTGCGATTTTTTCCGCAGTGGCATGGGGCTAAGCCTTAATGCCGCAAACCTGGCATGTCGACGAAACTCCTTTAACCGCTTATGTGGCTGAAGATCTTTACCTCTGCAAGTAGCTTTACGAGTCAACAAAGACAAAGCAGAGGGAGGATTGCACGAGTGTGTTTTGCACGTTTGGCACGGGGCCACGACCTGTTTGGCAGGAACACTATGATCGGCATCACCAGAAGCTTGGTGACTTGGAGACAGGGAGACGTTCTGCACGAAGCAAGCTTGCCATATTTTTGGCCAACATATTCGTGGCTTGTGTGTCTAGATAGCAAGATGTTCTTGTTGCAAATGCCTCCAGTCGCCTGGCAAGCCGCGCGTCGTTGTCACACGGCAGACCTTACAAAGCAAATTTGCTGATATCAGGTTCTCACCTTCAGAACATGTTCGCTGGCCATGCCGGAAAGAGCTTGCAGGACGAATTGGTTTCGGTGCAGCGGAAAGTCGTAAAGCTGTGATAGACGATGCAGACTGTGCCAAAGATTCCGAGAAGCAGACAGCCGGCCCTAATCTGTCCAAACCCCACACCGTGAGTTGCCCTCCTAATTAAACGTCAATACGTCACGTCTTCTCTCGATCGCCTTCTCCTCCTCAAAATATGCGGCCTAAGCCCGCTGCCCCAAACAGCCGCGAGCATCACCCTCAAGAAGACCATGAAGACTTCCGTCCCGTTTTTCCCCTTTTGAGGACGAAGACCTTGGCGATGGAGACAAGCGTTCCTGGGCTCCAGAGCTCACTGAATAGACAAAGAGACGAGACCATGACCATGCCAGACCGCCACCTCAAAGTAATCACTCTCGGTGTTTTTTTTGTCTTGGTTGCATCACAGCTGCTCGCAATTTGATCTTGCCCTTAGGCCAGGGCAAGAGGGAATTTGCCGGGGCGCCACATGTCGTAGACTCCCAAGATGTGCACCTCGGCGCCATGATGGTGTCTTGTGGAGATTTGTGGGAGGTGATTCTCTTTGAAATGCAGAGCTCAGGTTCGACTTGGTATGCGGCTCACCAACTCTCAAGGAGGCCTATATAAGTTGCTGCAACCGACTGTAGGACTGTAAGACAACATGCAGAATGGCCGCGAACGCTGGCAGCTAGTCAACCTCGGCTTTTTCCAATCCAAAGAGACTCCCACGCACTGCGCAGTGTGCTTTCTCATCCGTAGCAGCCAGAAGAACGTTTGCTCATTGAGTTGTTGGACGCAGAAAGTTTTGCCTAGTGGCACGCCGTGCCACACGCAGAGCCGATGAATGTAGATTAACTAACCGAGCGCAATCAAACGGCGGACTGGATTGTGTTGGTGAGCGAGTCGACAAACCTGGTGAACTGCTGCTCCGAGAAAAGGGAGAGAATCATGCTAATTAGATAGTTTCCAAATTTGTCGCTTGGGTTTTTGTCTGTGCATACGTGCATGTGTTGCTGGTGCAGGCGCACGCGAAGAAGGCAGACTGTCGGCTGTCCTGTCATGCAGCCTCTGCGTCGCTGGACATGAGCACGTCCGTTCCGTTGGGAGGCGAACCCACAGCTTGCGAACATCTTCGATGGTTGCGCTGGCCTGTGCCTCCAGGCCAGTCAGAGTCAGAGTCAGAGGCACCGGGCACCAGTCAGAAGAAGGCGCAAGTGCTTTGGCTTAGCTTGTTCATGAAGCAGAGCAAACAGAGCGATACAAACAGAGAGAGACACAGAAACGCAAACAAAAGAGACAGAGGCCGACATGACAGACAGGGCAATTGCACGCACCCGTTACCAGCCATGCAGACTCCCAGCTGCGCGGCCATAGTTCCTGTTCCGGTTTCACGGCCCACGAGCCCCGCCCAGCCCAGCGCAACCCAACCCAACGGAACCCACCCACCGCGTGCACTCTCAACCGTAGAAGCAATTGCAGGCACCACAGATACAGCTGCACAGAGAGAGCGCGTGTCCGCACAGCTGAAGCTACGAAGCCTGGGTAAATACGATTTCTTTCCAGGATGAGGACGTGGAAGGCCCCCGCCATCGTGGGAAGAAGAAGGGGCCACATGGGGCAGCGGCATACCGTGGGACAGCAGCTTGACGCATTCTCCATGCTGGTTCCAACACTGTCGGCGAGCAATTGCTCATGTCTTCCAACATAGCACTACATGACGGGTTTGTCACAGCGACACTGAGGTTCAGCAGCTTGACGGCAAGACCCAGACATCCTCGGTTGTTTTTGTTTGAGCTGAGTCGGCAAGTCGCTCTGAGTCGCCCCCTGGCGAGCTGAGGGCCGAGTGCTTTCAGAAGGCCTTCCAGCCAGCAGAACCTCGGGCCCCAGAGTACACTCTCGAGAGACCGGCGTGTCGCTATCAGCTTCGACCAAAGGAGATCGTGATCAGTCCAGTGGATAGCGATCCTTTGCCCACGTTGCTGCTCGCCGGATGTAGCTCAAGCGTCCTGTGGCAAGTTCTGAGCGTGTCGTAGTGGGGGAATCTGCAGACCTGCAAGAATCCCGCTCTCCACTTTCCGAGGTTCGTCTCGCATGGCCTCGGACCGATGCCTCTGCTGCGGGACCCCTCCGCACCCTTCCCGCGCAGCCTTGCCGAGCTGCCCCAAAGGCATGACAAGTGGAGACGTGGCATTTGGGGGCTTGCCAAAGCCTGCGTCTTGCGGCAGGCTGCGGCTGGATGAGCACTCGGTCGAAGCCTCGACATCCGCAGAATCCGGGATCGAATGCAGAAGGCTCCCGGTTTTCCCTGCAGGTGCGCTGCATCCTAGTGATCTCTGCGCATTGGGAGAGCAGGGATGGGCTTGAGGCCAGGATCAATATATGCGGAGAATGTGCTATACCCATACATGACTCTGTTGCAGGTGACATTGCGCCGGACTCATGCTCAAGGCCTCCAGGGTGGTACGACTTGAAGCTGCAGCCTGTTGGATGGGAAGATAGATGGTCGTTGCGAAGATTGCGAAATTTGCGAGGTCTTCTTTATGACTATGCCGGAGCATCCAAAGAGATGTACGAGGCGAGGCGACTGGAATCCTCGGTTTTTGTCCGTTTCCGGCGAGGGCCAGGGCAGGCTCCGAGGACAGACAGCAGAGGGGATCTCTCACCCGATATGCGCAGAGAAGCTTCGAAGAAGACACAGCCGCCCTGCAACCTGGTCCTTCTGGCTTTTTGGAGGGGTGCTGGCAGGAATTGCAGAGATAGACTTTCAAACCTATAAGCCCTACATACGAAGGCAAACGGGGACTTCTTCGGCATACGGCATACGTTCACAGTTGCAGGGCTGTCCGAGCCCGTCACCGGCTGCCTCACAGAGTGGTACACGATGCCCTCGAGCAGGTGCACCACCGCTACCATCCACCCGGCGATCCGCAGGTGCTGGGGGCTTGGGCCGGATTCCGCAAAAGAGGCCATCAGTGACCTGCGCATCGGGCTCAGGTCTGGCTGGGTGCTTGACCTCCTTCAGGAAGCGAACCAGGAGCAACACAAGGGATTTCTACACCAATGTTGCAAGAGCTTACGGCGCGTGCGGTGCTGAAAGCCGACCTAGGAGATCCGGGTCAACTCTGCCCGGGCGTTGGTGGCCTCGGCTGCACTAAGCACCGGCTCTGAACGAAGTAACGACAGACTGATGCACTGCAAACTCTTTTTGAGGACCATGGTGTCTTCGTTCCACTGCTGCTCATGCACCTGGGAGCGGTCGGAACGGTGAGCAGACGGAGCGGCATCAGCGCATGCTTTTGAGGCCCAGCTTGGCTTCCGTACCTGTGGTGCAGCTCAGCCTCCCCGGTTTTCACGGTCGCCGGGGCTCCGAACTCGCACGCCAGTGTCTGGAGGAGTGATTCTGAGAGCACGCCCACTGCGCTTGCTTATCTCCACAGAACCCAAACAGACAAGCTTTTCCTGAAAGGTGGGCAGGGCTTTGTCGCCACTGCGGTCTGCGGCCCAGTTGGAGGTTCCCAAAAAAAAGAACCCTTGGGTGCTAGCCATGCCTTCGCCCACTGCCGAGAGTCTGGGACAAGGTCCCGTGGGGTGCTGATCTTGGGCAGCGGGCTCTCCACCAACTCCGCCACGAAGCCAGAGCGGCTCGAGAGGCATGTGCTCGAACCGGTTTTGGCCTGAAATTCGCGATCCGAAGCAGGTGGACAGAGGAGCTGACACGGCTTTGCGGTGCTTCTCCGGAGGAACGCCTCTTGGCTTAGACCATCTCCTCTTAGGACGGCTGCAGAACAGCGCAGTCGGTATCAGATCACGTGCCTTCAAAGCCTTCTTCCAGGCTTTGAAGGCTTGCGGACCTGGACCTCCACGTTGCCCCACGCCAGGGAGGCCGGTTTGTAAGAGCGGAGGAGTGTTAGCGTGGAAGCCCACCAGGGAGAGGTGTCTCTTCAACACAGTCACTATACCGTAGTGCCGTAGTATCTACAGGATGTCGACAGACCGGAGTGCTTTCACAGGTCCACGGCCGTGAAGAGCACCTGTTGCCCTTGCACGTAGCCGCAGGCCTTCTCAGCGAGCTCGTCTCCATGATAGTGTTTCTGATTCAGTTCGGTTTGTGCAGAGAATCTAGGTGTTTTTCGTAGCTGCAAAATGGCCAGCAAGACGCCGAGCATGTATTCGCAAAGCTCAGAGGTGCTGCCCGAGATGATTCCGGAGAGGTGCGACGGACTTGCCCAAACACTCTAGGGTGCACTCTAGTGCCGCTGCCCATGCCTGCAGCGAAATTTCAACCGAAAGCTTAGCCGCCGTTGTTTGCTTGTGCTTGTTTGGGCCATTTTAGTGGCCGTCGGTCGTGAGCGAAGTGTTCAGCAATTTCATCATGCTAATGTTCGTCGTAATGTTGTCCTTGTCGCCGCTTGGTCGTCGTCGCTGTGCTTGTTGATCCTGCTCCTGGTGGCGGTGGCGGTGGTGGTGGTGGTGGCTGTCGCTGGCAGGCTCTCTGCCATTGCGTTGAGCATGGACTCGTTCCCGGCCCAGCTGCGTTCCGTTGACACCATGCTCCTGTTACTGCTGCGGCCAATGTTTCGGACGTCAGGCTCTTCCGGGCTGTTCCCAGCATATCTTATTTACTCAGTCTCAGGGGTTCTACAATCACAAAGGTCATGTCCCACTTCGTCTTCGGCTGGTGATTGCTCCTTGTGTTTGTGCAGGCCTGATCTGCCTGCGTCTCACGGGAGGACCGGGGAGTTTTTCCAACAGAAGCTCAAGAAACAGAGCCTGAGAGCTTGGCTCTGTTCGGAGAACTCCTTGGCGCCTGTTGCATCTGGCGAGTTTCCTTTTAAGAGGACTCCAATTCGTTGACTCTAGGGACGTTGCCCACAAGGCATACTCACATACAGGAACGCGTGTCCACCATAGACGGCAACTTAATCCAATAGCTCCGAGTGCCGAAGGCATGAAAGAGTTCGTTACGTTACGCCATGTGCGAAACAAGCTCCAGAGTTCCTGGCTTTGGGGAACGTGGGTTCGCGCAGTTTGGTTCAGGAAGGGGTCTGAGATGCTCTGAACTGCATGTTGGACTGAGGTGGAGACGAACCCGACATCCACCGCTTGAGACTTCCCAGGCCATTGCTTGGGTGCAGTCAAGCTTTTGGACATGGTCAAAAGTACTGCTGTGTTGGTCTTGGTTCTGGAATGGTCTTTGACAAACCTACCCGCTGAATGCATCAGAGATGTGTTTCATGAGCATCGTATCAGCTCTGTCGCAGTTGCAGATGGATGATGACGAGCTCATGCAGCGTCGCTCTAAGTCCAAGCATCTCCAAGCATGTAAAGCCGAGCTGGCGTGAAATGTAGGCATCTGCAGGCTAAATGGTAAGATATGGTAAGCTGCATGGCAGCAAGTCACGTACTGGTAGGTGTCAGGTATCCGTCTGAACCGACAGGGAAGTACCAAAGTCGAGCAGAGGACATTGTGTCCCCATCATGTTGTCCTTGAAATAGAAGAGATGGTGAACATCATGATCCGTGCAGCGATCTTCGATGCCCCGAAACACAATCTCAGGTGTGTGGCCGAGCAGGACCACGAGCTGCTCGGGTCATTGAGCCAGTTTGGATTCATCGTTCTGGCGGTTCTGGCATGGTCCAGGAGCCGGCGACAGCCTCCCAACCGATCAAGTTCAAGGCCCAGTTCACCTTGAGCTGACGACCATTTGTGGCAGACATGAAGTATAGGGCTCTTTCTCGCTTTTGCCTGCTAAAGATGTTGTCCGTTCTTCATGATCCACCCGCAGCCTTGTGCACAACTGGAAGGAAATCCACCTTTGGGGACCTTTGGGAATCGAGCGTTCGCAGGGGCAATCCCACCGAGGTTTCAGACCTTGTTAGAATGGTAGAAGGCCGAAGCCGGTGAATTGCCAATCTACTTGTCCTGCAAGCGGGTGGCAGCATAGAAAGCTTTCACAGCATGGCATTCGTTTTGGACGCAGAACGGCCTGGTTGGCATCCGTGGGGATTATTACGGCCAGGGCAGAGGGCTCAGTTTGTCGGGCAAAGAGAGGCCAATTCAGGAGCTTGCACGCCAAGAGAAGAGGTGGAGGCTGATGCGCATGTCGAAGGTTGTCAACGGTACAGGCAGACAGGAACAGTTGAAGCACTGCCACCTTGCTTTGAGGTCCTCTGCCCGAAGGCCAGCACTTCCTTCAGTGCTTCAGCTGAGGGATTCTGCGGGCCTGCAGCACTTCGTTGGCACACCGAAGGTTGGGTTTCTCCAGGCTCACCAGCAGCACGGATCCCAGCAACGTTTCACGGTGAGTTGCAGTCGGCAAGCCCCAACCCAACCCAACCCCCAAGGCTTTGAGCACCCGGGAACCCAGCTGCGAGCGCAGCTATGCCTCACCGCGACCGGTGCCCTGGCCTGGATCGCTTGCGTAGGGCCGTAGGGGTTCGGTCGACGTCTTTGGATCACACGGGATCTGAGGACTCGCGCGGTTCAAACAGCAGCGACTTCTCCGGCGGCTTTCGGCAAACGTACTGCGGCAGCACCGTAAATGTCATCCTTTTGACAAGCCGCCAAGACAGCTCCAAGCCCGGTATGGGTCTGCAGTAGTCTTGAAGTTTCGTTCAAGCCCGGGTTCTGACATCTTGATGATCACGGAGCCCGGAGACTTGGGATGAGAGCCGGTTTGCTTCGATCGGTTCCATTAGGTTCCAAGCGAAGTGCTCCGACCCGTGAGCGTCCACTTGCTTCGAAGAAATCTTAGCGAGGCGTGGGCGCATGATATTCCAGCGTGCCCAGCGATCCACAACCCCGCCGCTCCAGGAGCACCAGTGTCAGTGTGAGCTGCGCATTCCGTTTTCATCCGTTTTCCAGAAGTCAGGCCACAACTTGAGGCCTTGGGTTTTTCCCGAAAGCTTCAGCGAA